TTTTAATAATTGCTTTAAATTATTTGCAGCTTTGTTTAAGATGCTTAGGTTAAATAATTTTAGAAAGAAAATCTAAAATAAATAATAAAAATTGAGATGGAGACTTTAATTTTGAATAACATTTAAAAATTAATTGCACTACTGTTATAATATTTGAGAAGGTAAAAAATCTCTGTACTTTTAATGCATTGTATACTAAAAAGAAAAAGAAAATCACATTGTAATATATGTATTTATGCAGTTGATGAAAATATACTTACAGACTGTTGACTTTCAGCTGGAACTGTAAACTATTACTGTCCAAACTTATAATATAGTTTATGATACAAAAAGATAAATTATACAGAAATCTTATAACAGAAAATATTTTACTTTCTTATATTTAAGTAAACATTATTTTACTTAATTTAAAGTCAGAAATAGTTTTTGGAAGAATTTCATTTACCTTTGACCTTTCAGTGTTACCAATAGTACTTGCATCCTGGAAATGTACGATAGTAAAGAATTTTTTATTTTTAAAAAGATCTTTCACTGATTGTAAATGACCGTTTTATTCAGTTACTTGCACATTAAAGTGCTTATAAACTCAGCAATGCCCAGAAAAAAATTTCATTCAAACTTGGAAGCTACTGCCTTAACTGTATGCTGCTATACATTACATTTAATAAGATTTCATATTTTGCAGATCAGCTGTAAAACGTCCATTTCCAAAATAAAATTTTCTTTCTGAATTATAAATTCAAACATGACAATACATATTCTATTTTATTCCTGTATGCCAATTAAATAAACGCATTATAAAAATGTGCATTTAAATATAGTATTTACTATAAAGTAAGTGGATTTAATTACAAGTAAACACTCAACAATTAAGTAAAACAAAAATATACTACTTTGTAGGAACACCAATCTTTCAAACGCGAGCAGGACGCACATTTTGAACAAAAAGCTTTGGGTCTTCACCAGCTGCAAAGGATCCAACTTGCATCTAATGAAGAAATAAAGCTTTTCGTTTGAAAAGCATGTCCTGCTCATATTTAAAAGTTTGGTGTTCATACAAAGTAGTATATATTTATTTTAAGTGGATTAATGCTTTTTTATTTATTTAAATTATTTTTTCTATATCAGGAAGAAGTATTAAAAATCACCTACTCAAACTGGTAGTCAAATATATTCCAAATTTCCTATTTTTGATTTGTGAATAAGTAATGAGCTTTTTAAAACAAAAAACACACAATTTGGCCGAAATATAGAAACTAGGTAATATTATATACTACATGAATAACTTTATGAAATACAATACCCTATATAAGGCTCTGATATGGGAAATTTGACTTATCAAACAATTTTTTTTTTTTTTTTTGGAGATGGTATAAATTAAAAAAAAAAAGTAGCTTGTAAAACCATGGAAATCTTTATAGATATATAAAGAATGTGATATTTACTTTTAAAAAATGCATACATAAAACAGTGTAAATAAAATACAAACTACAAATTAAAAATACATGCTTTTATTTTAACAAATACAGGGCTTAAATAAAACTGACTGTTTCACAGAAAAGAAAAAAAAAAGCTTTTATGAATAGAAAGTGAAAACTAGTAAAGATATAATGATGAAAGCCTCATTCAAACCCAGGGCTTAATTTCTATAATTAGAACTGCCGGAGCCCTATGGAAGACCTTAACCAAAGAGGAACAAAAGTAATTAAATAAAATGACTATTAAAATCATTAATAATTTAAAAATTAAATAGTTAATAAATATCAAATTAATTCATAACTACTTAATTAATATTTACCAATTATTATTTAATAATAATTATTATTTAATTAAATAAAAATTAATAAATTATTATTATTTAGATAATTACAGATTAAGGTAATTAAATAATTAAAATAAATAAAATGTAAAGTAATAAACAAAAACTTAATAAGCGATTTTTAATATAATTTTATTGTAAAACAATAAAATTTTCGAGATCAAATTTCTGCTGAAATTGTTGTTCACTTACATAAAATAAGTGCCGGATTCTTCATATTTAGGGCTCCGGTGCGCTCTGCCTAGAATTATGATTTTTCGCCAAAACTAAGAAGTACCGGAGCTGGGCTCCGGCGCACTTTAAACTCTGTTCAAACCTGCAAAAGTTCACTCAGATATAATTTTGATTTTTTTATAAACTATATATATATATATATATATATATATATATATAACTATATATTTTCTGGCCATTTCTTTCCTGTTATTAATTTATGGGCCATTTCGTTTCTGGAGGCTTGATCGCCCTCTGGCTTGAAGAATTACGACTTTAATTAACAATTTACTATTTTTTCCTAATTTCTTCTCACTTTTTTATATTTTAACCATATTTTAACATTTTGTTGAATTAGACAGTTTTTCTTTCACCTACGCCCAAATTTCATCAAACTCGTAGAGCAAGACGCCATCTTGAACAGTTTTTGCATTCTTCAGCACATTGCCTCCCCCCCCCTTACACAGAGTCAGGTTTATGCCAACGGTCAGTCACTTTTCATTGGCTCTTTCTCCTGACGTTTCTTCCCCTTTTTACGTCATACCGCCTAGTTGGTTAGAAACTTCTTTGCTCGAGGCTTTCACCCCTATTTGAGTTAGCATAGTTACAGCAATGAAGACATCGACGTTCCAGATCTGGTTTTAAAAAATATTTCTTTCCCTTGTATTTTAATTATGGATTTAATTATATATTTTAATTATGGATTTATTAATATTTTAATTAAGATCACGCAGTTAAACACACAGCATTCAAGGAATGCGACATTACAGCTTAGGCAAGATTTAGAGATGGACAATAGATTAAAATTTGCATGCATTCAATAACCGTATGTTCTCAAAGATAAAGTCAGCGGTTTCCCATTAAGACATAGAATTTACTATGCAAAATCCAGTGCGGAAGCCGCAATAATAGCAACAGACACAAATATCCCGATCCTTGAACTAAAAACAACACCGGAAAATCGTAGTAATAAAAGTAGAGGGCACAGTCCCCTTAGTCCTAATATCGGTGCATTGTCCCCCGCACGAAGACATAGAAGAGATAATGGCAGTTCTAGATCAAATTATAGAGGACAGGAAAAAAGACAATGTAATTATCTGCAGCGACTTTAACGCCAAAAGTAGAGTATTGGGTTCTCTGAACTTAGATCTCAGAGGTTCCAGGGTCAATGATTTCATTGCAACGCATAATATGTGCATTCTAAATGACCAGTCCCCCAACATTTACGGGACCTAGAGAGAATTCCTGGATAGACTTGACCATAGTAAAGTACAAAACTGGTCTTAGCATAGAAAACTGGAAAGTAGCTAAGAGGAATACATTAAGCGACCATAACGCGATAAACTTTGAGGTAAATTCAAAATTCAAAAAGACTAAAATAGGAATGAGGATGTAAAAAAGTCACACAGATTGGCTCATACTTAAAGAGGGATAAATCAAGTAATGTCCAAAGAGTATAAGTTAGATACAAAAGAAGAAATAAATGACACAATAAAAAATATTTCAAAAGAATTAAAAGAAGTTTACTTAAGGGTTCTACTCCCAATACATAAAAAGGAAAAAAAGGAACTAAGAAATCTAACCCATGGTGGAATCACCACCTCAAACAAGAAAGAAAAAACGTAAGAAAGCTAAGGTGGGAATATCAACATACATATAACGAGGAAAGAAAGGATAAAAGGGCACGCTATAAAAGAGCAGAGGCTGAATACAAAAAGAACATCAATAAAACCAAACAAAAGTCATGGGAGAACTATTGGAATAACTTAAACTCACCGTTTGGTACATATTTCGACATCATAAAAGGGAGTTACGACCAACCACTAAAGATAAGTAAAATTAAAAATAATGCCGACGAGTGGACAGACTCAATAGAAGATACCATAAGACATATAATTAACTTCCACTTCCCACAAGATGAGGAGGGAACAGACTCAAGACAACATAGGATAATGAGACAAGATGCCAGGGACAGCCCGAACACAGGAAAGGACGTTCCATTCACAAAGGAAGAAATTAGAAACATAATAAAGACAACAAATAAGGGAAAAGCCCCAGGGATAGACGACCTTTCAAGTGAGGTAGTAGAAGAGGCCATGATACTGAACGAGAAATTGTTCAAGGATATTTTATATAAATGCTTAGATAAAGGGTATTTCCCAAACACCTGGAAAGAAGGGAATCTGGTACTAGTCCAAAAAGAGGGAAAGGACAAAACAACGCCAGAACCATACCGCCCCATATGCTTACTATCAGCATGGGGCAAGGTCCTGGACAAATTAATGGCAAAGAGGCTAACATACTTTCTAATAAGTACAAAAGCGCTTAACATCAAACAATATGGCTTCATGCCAGAAAAAAGCACAATAGATGCATTAGAGGGACTCATGAAACAGATAGAAGACAACAGAAGAGAAGGTCTACACACATGTGTCATTTCGCTGGATGTAGCCTCTGCGTTCAATAATCTATGGTGGCCGGGGGTTCTAGAAAGGCTAAAAGCATTAAGATGCCTAAGGAATTTATACGAGTTAATTGGTAGCTATCTAAATGAAAGGTCGATAGTTTACAACAGAGAAGGGACCCAAATTAAGCACAGATACCAGAAGAGAGCCCCCCAAGGCTCAAACCTGGGCCCCATACTCTGGAATATAGTGGCTGATACAGCACTCTCGTTAGACTTAGGGGAGCACTGGAGCATTCAGGCTTACGCAGACGATTTTATATTAATAATAAAAGGAGGAAATAGGCTAAGGCTCGAAGAGTACGCCCACAGAGCGCTACATCAGATAGAAGAATGAAGCATAAAATACAAGCTCCAATTCAGTATAGAAAAGACAAAGCTTATCTTGTTCCCGAAAGGAACAAAGCTCCACAGATCACTCCCTAGGATAAAGGGGAAAGGAACCTTGATTCCGAAAAAGGATAATTTAAAATACTTAGGCTTTATATTGGATTCCAAGAATACATGGATCCCACACCTAAGTACAATAAAAGAAAAATCGCAAATAATGATAAACAAATTGAACAACATAGTCTCAAGGACTTGGAATATGAAGGGACAACTAATAACAACAGAGCGATAGAAAGGATGATCCTTTATGGATGTCCTATTTGCCACAAAAGGACGGCACGAAAAAGTCAAAAGCTAACACAGATACAAAGAGGAGCGCTCCTCAGTATCACAAAAGCTTATTCAACAACGCCGACATCGGTTCACCAGGTCCTTTCGGGCATATTACCCATGGACCTGAGAGCGGAAATGGAAAGGAAAATCTACAGACTAATCCACTTCAAGGAACATATGAAAATAGGAGATTTAATAATATGGGCACATGAAGTTGAGGAACGCCTTCCGGCTCTTCACACACACCCAGCAAAAGCAGCAAGAATAAAATGGGGAAAAGACCCGCTAAAAGGGAAAGATCTAGAAACATACACGGACGGTTCCAAAATGGAGGACAAGGTAGGAGTGGCGTTTGTAGCTTCCTTTAACAATGAAGAAATATACAGGGAACAATACAGGCTGAATGATGAAGCCACAATGTTCCAGGCAGAGGTGCTAGCACTCAAAAGAGCACTCCTCTGGATAGATCAAAGGAAAGAAAATCCCCAAAGGATATTCACAGATAGTTTAAGTACACTACAGATAGTTTAAATAGCACGGAACAAAGGTCGAGAAGTATAGTCAGTTTAAAAGAAATGATACAAACAATAAGGGTGTAAGGATTATGTTAATTTTATTAACAGTTAAATTTTTAAAAAAAGTTCCTTTCCTGTCAAATTCTTAACTTCAGCTTACTACTTTCGGCCAGAACGTACTTTTGGAATTTTGCTGAATATTTAATGAGAAGGAGCGGTATTTAAACCACGAAGTTACTTACCGAGTCAGAGAGAATCAGAATCAGAGTTTCTGATTTACGCGCGTCTGCCTTTATGGCCACTCTCTCTCTCAAGCTGTTATTACGCACGGCCGTACAGAGGCCCTTGCTAAGCTTCGTAGTAAAATAAGTTAAGGGGCCAACTCAAATTGAACCTTGATAGTTTCTTTAGTTAATCTTAGTTTTAGTTTAATTCAAGTCCAAGTGCGGGCTTTGTTTGTACACTCCCAGGCGGAGTTTTGTTAAATCTTATTGGAAAAATAAAGGGTTAGTTACCCTTCTATCTTGTTTTTTCTTGTCACCGAACTCTAGCGATTATTCGCTTATCAGTTCTTAGAATCCTCACTTCCAACATTAACTTAGAATTCCAAAGTGAGGTACTCTACATTTGGCGCCCGAAAAGTTTTAACGGACCATGTCGTTAGAATCCGGGAAGTTTGCGTTGACTCCTCCGACCTTTCAGGTCCCTACAACATCCACGAATCCAGTAGAAGGGTTTGGATTCCTCGTGGAAACGTTGCATGCATCTATGAAACCAACAGCAACTTTTGACGGCAAGGGCTCAGTCCTGACATTTTTGGAGCAATTGGACCTACATTTCACCTTACACCCTGTGAATCAGCTACAAAAAGTGATCATCGCTACTACAGCCTTAAAAGGTCAAGCCCTTAGCTGGCAGAAGAGTATAGGAAAGTTCTTGTTGGGGGACCCAGGATATGAATCATATAACTGGGAAAATTTCAAGTCTGCATTACTAAAAGCATTTCCAGTTATTAAAGATCGTGCGAAGCTTGAATCAGAATTGTATAGTAAATACCAAGGCGGTTTCGAGGATTTGAAGGAATTCATTTTAAGAAAAGTTCATATTTTTAATCTATTATACGGGAAAAAGGCCGCGGATGAAGAAATTCATCGAACTAATTCTACCACGTCTTCTACCGTCAGAGCAAGATTTCCTCGAAGTGCGTAATCCGCAAACATTAGAAGTTCTATTTCAAGCTTGGCAGTGAAATTCCAAAGTAGAAGAAGAAACTCGGAGAAAGCGCGTGCAAGTCAGTTTGGCCAGTACTCAAGATTTACGGGAGTAAATCACAAGAAAACCTCAAGAGAAAGAAGAACCACAAGTTCAGTACAAGGCGTATCGGCAGCGGGCGGACGGGAAAAAGTGAAAAGTTCAATAACAAGAGCGCAGATAAATCTGATGGCGGTGGATATAAAAAATCAGCGAAAAGAGGCGGCAAGTAACCAGAATTTAAACGCAAACCGGTGATCGAGAAGGGGCAACGGTCACCGAGTGGGAAGGAAGACCCCTCAGAAATGTATTTAAATACAGTTAGTGGTACAAAATCTAGCTATGCACCACGAGGATACAGATTCTGGTAAATAATGTACCAACCATTGCACTCCTGGAACACAAGGGCACAATGTTCATTCCTCTCAGAAGATTTTTTTAGGAAAGCATTTTCGTCGTTACAGACAGTTTAAAGCCTACGGGATAAGAAAGTAATTGCCGCCCAAGGCAAACAGTGCGTACGTTTGGGGAAAACTGCACTGCATGTTCATATTAAAAACGAGGTGTCTAAAAGTTAATTTTTTAGTCGTGCGAAAGATTTACTCACGTCCAGTCATACTGGGGGTCGATTTTTACGCGCATCCGGCAAATCTTAATTTCCAGAATTCTACGTTTCAGGTGCACATGGACCCGGTAGACAGTAGAAGAATGAAGGTTTCTCATGCCGGAATTGGGCATTTAGACCATCTGGAAGCTTCGAAGTGAAAGAGAAGATCGAAAGGATTGGTAAGGAAATTTAATTCTTTGTTTAACGACAAACCTGGTTTTTGTCAGATAGTTAGTCATTCCATAGACACTGGGAATGCCCCTCCAATCCGATCGAAGCCTTATAGATATGATAAAACGAAAGAAAAATTTATCGAGAAGTATATTGAAAAAATGCTAGAAAACAAAATAATCGTGCCTAGCACGAGTTCGTACGTAAGTCCGGTGGTCCTTTGTAGAAAAAAAGAACGGACTACCGCCTGAACACCCAGACGTGTATAGGTTTGCAGTTGATTATCGTAAGTTGAACAGTATTACAAAATATCCCACGTATCCCCTACCAATATTTGACGAAATAATTAGAAAAATTCGCTCGACTAAATTCATGACAACCCTAGACCTCACTTTGGGTTACTTTCAAATCGCTGTTAAGCCGGAGGATGTCCAGAAGACCGCATTCGTAACAAAACCAGGCGTGTATGCCTTTTTAAAAATGCCCTTTTGTTTAAGCGGAGCGCCAGCGACGTTCCAAAAAGCTATGGACATAGTCTTGAAGCCAGTTTTAGGTAAAAGTACAATTATTTATCTCGATGATATCATAGTTACCAGCGAAACATTAGAGGAACATTTGAAACATTTGGAAGAAGTTTTTGCCTTACTTAACGAGGCCGGTTTCAAAATAAATGCAAGAAAATTCAAGTTCGAGGCAAAGGAATTGCGATACCTCGGGTACAAAATCTCTAATAAGGGCATAGAGACTGATGATTCAAAAATTAAGTCAATTAAAAGTTATCCTCCCCCAAATACGGCTAAGAAATTGTCTTTATTTTTGGGCTTATGTTCGTATTATAGATTGTTTTGTTCGTAAAAGACTTTGCGAAAATAGTTCAGCCTCTTTTAGTGCTAAAAAGAAAGAAAAGTAGATTTTCTTGGACAGCCGAAGCGAACACCGCGTTTGAACAACTAAAGAATCCCCTAATCAATGCCCCAGTCCTTAAATTTGCCCAGAAGGCGAGCAAGGTCTAGAAATTTTCAGCGGATGCATTCCGATTATGCAGTTGGAGCGGTGCTTCTCCCAAAATGGGCAACCTAATAGCTTTTTTTTTTTTTTCGAAAACCTTGAATACTACTCAGAGGAACTATTCCGCTACTGAGCGAGAAACGCTCGCTGTGTTATTAGCAGTTCAGAAGTTTCGTGTTTACTTCGGAAGTTCACCGATAACGGTATACTGAGATCATGCGGCAGTGGGTCGCTTGTATTCAGGAAAAAATTTATCGCCTCGCTTGATACGGTGGACTTTAAAATTACAAGAGTTCAACTTAATCATAAAACATACTCCAGGAAAAGAAAACTTGGTAGCCGATGCCCTTTCGCGAATAAAAATTGATGAAGAGGGAAACACAATGAAGTGTGCTATGCTCACCTCAAGAGTTATTGAGTCCCGTGAAACAATAGTCGAAGAATTGAAAAAGGACCCGGAATTTAAAGATATTTACGCATACGTGGAAGACCCTGAAAAGTTTGAACATATAGATTTAACGGCTATTCGCAATAGGGCACAGCATTACGAAATAATCGACAAATTGTTATTTTATACAAAGGTAACGAATGAAAATCAGGAATACCGACCCGTAATCCCAGCGAGTCTACATTTAAGTATCTTAGAGGAGTTGCACGATCTACCTTCTGCCGGACATTTCGAAATACGAAAAACACTAAAGAGGTACGCGAAGCGGTTTATTTTCCTCAGTTACAGAAAGTTGTTACGGCGTATGTTAAGTCGTACCATATGTGCCAATTAATAAACGACGTTAATTACAGCCCGGCCGGGTATTTAAAAAACATAAAGACCACTTTTCCAAATGAAATAGTTCGCGTAGATTTGCTCGGACCCTACCCTAGGACAAAAATAAATAAAAACAGATATCTTTTAACAATCGATGACCATTTTTCAAAATGGGTAGAAATAGTCCCTCTTAAACGAGCTTCAGCTAAAATAGTCGCAGGTTCTTTCTTAACCTTTTGAAGACGTAATGGCCATTAACTAAAGAATGCCCTAATCAATAGTGGCCATCAGATAACGGAAAACAGTTTTTTAGTAGTATATTTAAAAATTTATGCACAGGACTTGGCATACGCCATCTAAAAATGGTACCATATAGACCGCAGTCGAATATAGCGGAACACGTAAATAAGAATATTGTAAAAATTATCAGGGGATATGTGAACAATTTTCATGACCGCTGGGACAGCTGTGACAATGAGTTAGGTTTTGCCTTGAGAACCGCAAAGCACGATACTACGCGGAAGACCCTCGCGGAGTTCTTTTTAGGAAGAAAAATCATAACTCCTTTGGATAAGCTGTTCTTTGTACAACAGAGACAAGAAGAATTCAAGTTAAAAGACATTCAAAAAATTATCGACGAAGCAATTAAAAGCTCTGATATGGCAAGACAAAAACAAAAAGTTTATTACGATAGAAATAAAAGGGAATTTGAATATAAAGTGGGACAGAAAATTCTTAAGTTCAAATATTCATTATCATCGGCACCAGAAAACAGAGTTGCAAAGTTTGAGCCCAGGTTTGAAGGGCCGTACATGATGGAAAGAATAAGAGAAGCCACGTTTTATTTAAAGGCCGAAAATGGCCAACAACTGGTTGAAAAAATATCGATCAGTTAAAATCTTATTACAGCCGCACTGACTTTAAAATATTGCAGGATTTATTACAGGATTCTGGAAGTAAGGAGAGAAGCCCACGAGCTCAGGAGCACAGCTGGAGTCCCCCAACACAGAAAAGAAAGCAGAGCCAGCAAACTTCGACCAGGGAAACCCATTCCATTAATGCTACAAGCGCACAAAAAAGGAGGAAGTTAGCACCGACAGATCAACGAGTCAGAAGCGAGGATTCTGCAAAAACTCAAGTACCATCGACCACAAGAGGGAGGCCTGCTGACAAGGGTCCAGGAAAGGAGAAAATTCAGCGACGAATGAAAATG